TTTTTTTTTTTTGTGCAGATAGAGCCCATTTTGAGTGGAAATCTGCCTCCTGGCTTTGATTCAACTACTTGCCGCAGTGTGTGAGTGTTGCATAGACATTTATTTCCCTTTTTCATATTTTTCACCTTTGGGTTTTTTTTTTTATCTATTGCTTTATGTTTATAATATTATTTGGCAAGCTCTCTCATTGTATATGCAGTAAAGAATTATGCGTGTTAGTCTTAATTTAGTTATTGGTTAGGGATTGTAGAGTTTTTTGTTTATGTACTGCTGTTTTGTCATTTACCTTATCTTAAATTGCAGGTATGTGGGAAATATTCACCCCCAGGTCACAGAGCCCCTTCTGCAAGAAGTTTTCTTGAGTACTGGTCCTATTGAAGGGTGCAAACTTATTAAAAAAGATAAGGTCATTTTTTGGTGCAATCATTTTGCCAGTTTACTCTTGATATTCCTGGTCTTCAGTTTGTTATTGGCTTTCTGGGGTTCTTGATTTGTACATATATTGCTGCTAATGGAATGGGGCCACATTTGCTTTTAATGCAGTCATCCTATGGTTTTGTGGACTATTTCGATCGCAGATCAGCTGCCCTTGCTATTGTGACTCTTAATGGAAGGCATCTGTAAGTAAAAATATAAACTCTTGTGGTTTTGGCCTTTTCCTCTGTCCTATATTTTAATTCATGGTCTTCTTCACAGATTTGGGCAACCTATTAAAGTTAATTGGGCATATGCTAGTAGTCAGAGGGAGGATACATCAGGTTTATACATGTGCACTGATGAGTACTCAGTTGTGTTATATTTGCGTACTGCATCAACAACTTATGCTTTTTCTACTTTGGCATTCAGGTCATCATAACATTTTTGTTGGTGATCTCAGCCCTGAAGTTACAGATGCTACGTTGTTTGCATGCTTTTCTGTGTACTCCAGTTGTTCGTGAGTACTGTTTCTCCTGATTTTGCCTACAAGTACCTTTTTTCAATCTTGAACTTTTGGATATGTGGTTATAGTGGGACTGTGGGGTAGTTAGTGTTGAACTAGTTGATTGAATGACAAATATGACTTTTTTCTTTTGTGGTTGCAGGGATGCAAGGGTCATGTGGGATCAGAAAACTGGGCGTTCAAGAGGTTTTGGTTTTGTTTCTTTTAGGAATCAGCAGGTACTTCGGTTGCTTTAGTTATCTTTCTGTTTCTGCTGTCTCTCTCAATATATGATTTGTTCGTGTCATGGTCATTCCTTTGTTTTTTCCTTTCCAGGATGCCCAAAGTGCTATAAATGACTTGAATGGTATGTGAATAAGTGCTTTATTAGATATAGTTGCTGTTATCATATTCTGATAAATATTGAAATTTCCATCATTTTGTTTGGGCTTATCACAGGGAAGTGGCTTGGAAGTAGACAGATCCGATGTAACTGGGCTGCAAAAGGTGCTACTTCCAATGAGGACAAACCAAGTTCAGATGCCAAAAGCATTGTAGAGCTTACTAATGGTCCATCTGGTGAGATTATCTTTGATATAGTGCCAGTTAGCTTCCTTTTTTTCCTCTGGATTTGAATGCATTACGTCTATAATGAACTGTCTGGTCATGTTATAATTTGAAACATCCAACTTGGTCTCAGCCTTTTGGGTTTATAGCATTTCTTGGAGTCATGACTGCTAATATGGTATATTATCTGTGGCTTTGCAGAAGCCTAATATATAAACTATGACATGCTTCCTCTGCCATTATTAAATTTTCTTGTTTTTGAGTCTTTTAAGTCTGTGTATTACAATTACTTTGGGTAACGCATTGTCCTTTCTATTCTGGTAGAGTTCTCATTCATATTATTATGCTTGTTGCAGAAGAAGTCCAAGAGAAGCCTAATGATGATACTCCAGAGAACAATCCTAAGTATACCACTGTTTATGTGGGCAATCTTGCTCCAGAGGCAAGTATTAGTGTTTTCCCATCTCAAGCTTGTTTGTTCTTCCCTTGATCCAAACTCTTAGGCGAGTATGGTACCTGAGGTTGATGCTACCAGCCATATCACTCAATTAAAATATATGGGCCATGGCCAAGTTACCCCTACGTAATTTATAGTTGATGAAAACACACTTTTTCAGTGTACTGGACTGTTGCAGCCATTTCACATGTTATACTGGCAGTTTCTCCACTCAATTTGTAAGCATGTGATGTCTTTAGGGTTTGCTATGGAAGTTAACATCTTGAGGATTAAATGGACAATAGTTAATAAAATTTTTTAGTGACAAAACCTAATTTCCCTTGCACATCAGTTTTTTGCTGTCTCAGATGGAATTTTTTCGGGTGGTGGTTCTCATAGAATAAAAAAGTTTGCAGGTTACATCAGTAGATCTCCACAGGCATTTCCATGTCCTTGGAGCGGGCACTATTGAAGATGTTCGTCTGCAACGAGATAAAGGTTTTGGTTTTGTGAGATACAGTTCACATGCTGAAGCAGCTATGGCTATACAGATGGGAAATGCTCGAATTCTATGTGGTAAACCAATTAAGGTATTTTCTCTTTGCCAAACACCATCCCAGATTGCAGTTATTACTTATTATATGAATGCTATGGATTCAGTTAGTTATCATACCTTAATTGATATATTTGATGTCAACGATGAAACTCATCTAATTTGTTGATTAACCAAACCCACCATTCATCCTGGCATGTAACTATCAGTATGAGTGTTGTTGCTGGAAGTGCTTCTAGATTTGGTGCATGGCACTGTTATTGTAATGGCCAGTACAAATTTTATGTTAAGGTGGCATGACCGTTCAAATTGTTTACCGCTGCTGCAGTGCTCATGGGGTAGCAAACCTACTCCACCAGGAACAAGCTCTGTGCCTCTTCCTCCACCAGCTGCTGCACATATCTGGCTTTCAGCTGCTGACTTGCTGCCTATGAACGGCAGATGGCTTGAGTAAATATGGCGGTGCACAGGCTATGGTATGATGCATCCGCAGAGTCAGCATGTCCTTAAGCAGCAGCCATGGGATGGGTTCTGCTGGAGCTAGTCAGGCATTATATGATGGTGGATTCAAAATGTGGCGCAACACCAGCAGCTAATGTACTACCATTAATGTGGGATCCAGCTCCTATTATAGCTTCACAGGGAGGAATAAGTTTTTGGAGAACTGTAGGATGATGCTACTTTTTCGTTTTCGAATTTGTGTTCTTTTCTGTTTTTTTTTTTTTTTTTCTTTCCTTTGCTAGATTGCTGTATTTCTCTGTTCTATACCTTCAACGTGTATGGATGGCTGTTCCCTATTTGAGATAATACTTAATTATCCGCTCAAACTTGATCAAAAATACTGTTCATCTTTCAATTAAATTAAGATTACTTATCCCAAATTCGTACAATCATCACCTTTTATATCTTAGATCGTGCGTATGAAATCATCACGGTCTTGTTAGAAGAAAGACTTTACATCTTAAGCAAACTGAATAGCAATTAGGAGTCAAAGGAATAAGAGACTGGTCAGTTACTCGAATTAAGGTTTTTGGGATCATTAATGTGAGATAGCTTCATCTTTTTAACTTTGTGGCAGATAATAGATATATTGTTTCAATTACTAGTTATGAGCATCAAATATAAAGATCCAAACTTTGTTTATCATTTTCTCTCAAACACAAAGTGAAAAGAATGGCAAAAGCATGAAAATTGAAAACTACAAAAAGGGGAAGTTCATTTCTTATCCAACTTCATATTTTTCATTACAGCATAAGCTCCATCCTCCAATCCGACCAAAATTTCCATGTTTTCTTTGATCTGGTTTTCTTCTTGTTTCTGAATTGACATTAGGAAATTAAAAGTTATTATTAATCCTCATAATCCTATGGTATTTTTCCTATATATATATATATATATATATTTATATACGCAGGGGTGCATGAACACGCAAGATCAGCACTGTCTTTGCTGCCAAAATCATAAGCTGCTCAAGCTAAATTGCAAGAATCCCGGTTGAGAAGATTTGCCCGTGTTATAGGGCGAGCTTGGAATTTTGCAGATCTTGAAGCTTCTGATTGCATTGTTCTTTCCTCTCATCCATCATTATTGCGTTGCCCTGCACTCTGACTGCAAGGGCCTTTTCACCTCTGAAATATCATCAAAACCGGGAATAATCAGCCTCTCTCTTAACAAAAACATAACTAGCCAACAAGGATTCTGCTAAAGCACATGATTTGTTTTCTATTTATTTTTTCAGGATGACCAACAACCGTACAAATTGAACAAGGAATCTTCATTAATTAAAAGCTATAGCTTGATAAAGAGAAAGTTACTAAGCAAAAAGATGAACTAGGGAACGGTTATTTACCTATACATGTATAGTCTTTGCCATGCAGCTTTTTCCTGCACAGGTGGCAAGTGCGAGAAATCTGAAGTTGGGTAAGTTGGAACAACATCTTCCACAAATCTTGCTGCTGGGGTTGTTTCTTCACAGACAAAAGCCGTTTCTGTCATGTCACTACTACTTCTCCTTCGTTCTCCTCCATCTAATACACTTGGTAGATGACTTGCCAGGTCCATGGCTTGTGACATAAGTATAATTCTCCAAACTTTCCATCTTCTAAATCCATATCTTCCTCTAAATCTATCGCAATTTCTGCCAGAACTGACAACAATTGCTTTGATCTATTCAAATTTGAGCTACAATAGCATGCCTGCAGGAATCACTAGATTCTCCAGGGCAGCAACGATCCCTAGTCCGACCACCCACATCAAATCTCTCAAATACTCTAGTGATGGACTTTTCAAATCTAATGGTCCTCTGGGGCTTGTAGCAAGATCCAAAAACCCAGGTTTGCTGCCAGAAACCAACAATTCAGACAATTTTCCGATCATTGGACGAGATCTCTTCCCTAACATGACTAGGAAAAGAGAAGAAAGAAAAAGGGGAAATCAATCTGTGTTAAGAGGTGGAGAATTGGAGAGATATTGGGAGTTGCTCTGTGTTAGAAACCTCCTCCACCAACGCCAGGTTAGGAGCTACAAATTTATGATGGAGTGGGTAAGACTTAGCCCATGGTTTGGTTTTGGAATTATATGGGTGATGAATATGATTGCCAGTAGTATTTGCTACTATAAAAAGAAGAACATCTCAAATTCAATTATTCTAGTGTTGCAATTATTAATTATAAAACAAAAGATAAAGTTTTGAGGGTTTAATTTTTCCTAGATGATTTTCTAAAAGGTCACTTTTGTGTGGGACCATCGTTTCATCATGTCTTTGTCTAATGATTGTGACCTGATCGAGAGGTGTATGCCCCACATTCAGCCACTGCAATTACAACACCAAAGATTCCTTGGCCACTTTCACCGTTTCGTTTCGATACGTGGCGGAAATCTACGGGTAATGCTGCCTGGCAATTATTGCCAAAACCACCATTAGTTCCCTTAGGCTGAGCCCACTGAATTTCGGGGACCCAGTTCTTTTGGCAGGGAAAGGGATGTGGTCTTGGCCTCTGGCCCACTATAATTGTTTTGTTTCGTTGAGAAGTTACTGAATTACCCCTATTCTGAGAATTCAGAAAATAGAAAAAAGCGTGATCCATATATTCCCTGATTCTCTCCTTTTAAGATCTTTTTCTCCCTTTTCTGTTTTGAGAAGACACGAGAGGTGTCAATTTTTTTTATTATAATTGAGAATGGAATATTCAAATTTTATTTTTAAAATAAAAAATTATACATCAATTAATAAATTAAATATTTAAATTTATATATTATTTTTTATATAAATATCATAATATTTAAAATTTTAAATTAAACATGAAAAAAAATTGTATTATGAAAATTATACATTTTATATAGACAATATTTATTTATATTATAACTCTAATTAGTTAACAGTATTGTAATTTAACTAACTAACTAATCAACAAATCTATTAGGAAAATAAATTTTAGTAAAGATATCAACAGTTTCATTTAGAGCATATATAGAATTGAGACCAAAAGAGTTACAAAATGATAATCAAATCTTAATGTGTTTGTTGTGCTCTTGAAACATATCACTATGAACTATTTGAATAGCATAACGATTATTATAGTGAAAGAAAGTGGCAAAAAAATTATAATAGTATAGCTAACCGCTCAATCAATATTATTGTATTATAACTGTACTACTAAATTTTTACAATTACTTTAAGGAAATTTTAAAATTTGTTAAATTACAAAACCTTTTGTTATTGAGATGTTTCTTTTTTAGAAAAATATTTGAAGATCTTTTACTTACTTAATTGGTAGCAACCAATGCAAAAAGATAGTTTATTAGTTCAAATAAGATTAAGTTAGCGATTATATGCAAAGAAATCCAAATTTAATTTAGCAAGGTGGTGTTTATGTAAATATATAAAATTTTAATTTTTTTAGTCTCTATCTTGAATAAAAGTTAATACAATAAACAGGAAAAAAAGGGGTAATAGAAAATTAGAAGAAATTTTTTGTAGACGTTAGACCATGCCAAAATTTTTTTAAAAAAAAAATCAAAACGGCAAAAACATAGTGAGGGTAGTAAAGTCATTAAATGTATTAAGTAGGGGCAGTATAGTCATTCAATTGTCTTGACAGTGGCCTCCAGAACCTGGAGCCCAAGGTCCATGATTAACTAGGCAAAGCGAGGTCCCAACGCGCGTGTGACACAGAACGTGGCAATTTCTTATTGGTGCTTTTCAATACAGCCACGTGAAGTGAGTTAACTCGTCGGGACGGAGTCCACCCAGACTCCAGTGACAATGACTCTTGAGTCATTTGATATGCGCGTAGAAGTCTAGAGGTCCTACCTTCAATTATTAACTTTTTTTATTTTCATAGAAAAAGACTCTCCAATTTTTCAGATGTGGGCCCTACCTTTCATAAGCAGAAAGTGAAACCGCATTTTTTTAATACTATTATTAATGATTTTACCAACCCAAATATTTGGAGAAAAAATCACTTTGAAAGAAATAATCCAACGGTCCTTTCTTAATTTAAAAAAAAAAGATATTATTTAAATTAAATTTGTATATTCCATTGATTTATTCATAAAGTTTTATCAATTTTATTTTTCACTTTTTAATTGGATTCCTGATTAATAATTTCAAGTTAATATAAAACCCACTAGTACATATGTATGTTTAATTTATTATTGAAATTATTTATAATTCTTTTATATTTTATTTTATTCGATTATCGTTGGTTCATTAGAAACACAGTTGTTGCTTTCGTTGGTGGCAATTGACATCTTCTTTACTACTATTTTTCTCTCTTCTGAAAATGTATGTTAAATTAAATTAAGAAGGCTCTTCATTAAATATTTATTAAACTAAAAGTATCAAATCTAAAAGATATCTTAGAAGATAAAGACGTAAGAAAAAAAAATAAAAGATTTGGGATCATTATTTAATTTTCAAGCTGTTTTAGTGTATAAGCCACACGTCCATTCTCTGATTCAAGGTTACACAAAAGATTGACCATTTTTGAATTATTACTAATAATTTATAATTCTCTTGATGCAAAGGACAGTCTTATGATTTTGGATTATAATGAATTATTTTTTGTTGTTAATCAATTTTTAATGCCACAATTTGAGGGATTCCATTGTTGGCGCATATCTGTAAGTGAAACCACCATTATTTGTTAAGAACGTCCTTTATTAGTTTGTTAACTGATAATGTTACTAATTAATTAATCATGGCCTTCTCAATCAAATATATATATATATATATATATATATAAAATTTATCATACATCTATCCCTCTTTTTTCCACTTTGATTAGGACAATAATATCGAAAACAAATTGATTTTAGTCAATTTTAATACATCCGCAAAAGCTTAAAATTTTATTAAGCACGGCTATTTTATCCCTTGCTTCGTTTAACTATGTTTCATATAATCTTTCTAACATAAAAAAGATGTATAAGTTATACATATCAAATTTTCTTTCAATGGTCTCATTACATAGATAAAAGAGAATTTATTTTCAATTGAAAATAAATTACATAGGAGCCTCTTGGTTGTTTTTGACTGATCGAATCTGCTCCTTTATGGTCAAATACATAAAATTTTTGAACAAATTATAGGGTGGTTACACATAAATATATCGTCTAGATTGCATTAGATTACCGAGATTACTATAATGAAATTTAAAGCTACTTAAAGATTCTTTAAGATTTCACTTCAAACTTTTAAATTTTCAAGTGGAGATTATATCCGAAACTAATTACAATCCTAAAAATTTTGCTCTTAGATAATCTGTTGAAATCAGATGCGTATAATCTTTTTTTTCAATATAAATACAGTATTCATTCCACTCCTTTTACTTCATCTCCTAGAAAACAATGGGGTTCATCAACTCTCTCTTTGTTGCCATTATCTTTTCTTTTTTTATATTTCATGCTAATGCTACTAATGTCACTCATGACGGCAGAGCAATCATAATTGATGGAGTACATAGAATTTTAATCTCTGGTTCAATTCATTATCCACGGAGTACAGCACAGGTAAATATTTCGTTAACAAATTGTTTTATTATTTTAAATTTATTAAATTGTTTATCAATATAATTTAATTTATTTTTATTTGATAGATGTGGCCGGATCTCATTAGAAAGGCTAAAGAGGGTGGATTGGATACAATTGAAACTTATGTATTCTGGAATGCTCACGAACCAGTTCGTCGTCAATATGATTTTACTGAAAATCTTGATCTCGTTCGATTTATTAAAACCATTCAAGATGAAGGATTATATGCAGTACTTCGAATTGGACCTTATGTTTGTGCTGAGTGGAATTATGGGTAAATTAATTAATTTGTATATTCAATTTTATTATATTTCTAATTTTTTATCATATAATATTGAGTTATACTAATTTTCATGAATTAATTTCTATTTACTAGGGGTTTTCCTGTATGGTTGCACAATATGCCTGGAGTTTCATTCCGAACTAATAATGATGTGTACATGGTAATGATTTTTCTTCTTAACAAGTTCTTATTTAGATAATTTTTTGAATTACTTTTATAGATGTAACATGAATTTTTTTTCTTTTTTAATTTTTAGAACGAGATGCAAAATTTCACAACTGTGATAGTTGATATGATGAAAAAAGAGAATCTCTTTGCATCACAAGGAGGTCCAATTATTCTTGCTCAGGTATATATTTATTTATATATGTTATTAATGTTATTATTTATGATGTTTAAATAATATTATAACAAGTTAATTTGTTATAATATTATTTAAACATCATAAATAATAACATTAGTAATAAAATATATAAATAAATATATACCTGAGCAAGAATAATTGGACCTCCTTGTGATGCAAAGAGATTCTCTTTTTTCATCATATCAACTATCAAAGTTGTAAAATTTTGCATCTCGTTCTAAAAATTAAAAAAAAAATTCATGTTATATCTATAAAAGTAATTCAAAAATTGTCTAAATAAGAACTTGTTAAGAAGAAAAATCATTACCATGTACACATCGTTATTAGTTCGAAATGAAACTCCAGGCATATTGTGCAACCATACAGGAAAACCCCTAGTAAATAGAAATTAATTCATAAAAATTAATATAACGATAAAAAATTACTAACAAAGTAAAGTTAAATAACAAAATTAATTAATTTACCCATAATTCCACTCAGCACAAACATAAGGTCCAATTCGAAGTACTGCATATAATCTTTCATCTTGAATGGTTTTAATAAATCGAACGAGATCAAGATTTCCATTAAAATCATATTGACGACGAACTGGTTCGTGAGCATTCCAAAATACATAGGTTTCAATTGTATCCAATCCACCTTCTTTGGCTTTTCTAATGAGATCTGGCCACATCTATTAAATGAAAAAAAAATCATTATCTAAATATATTTATATAGATAAAGAATGAATCAAAAAATCAAATACTTATCTTCTAATAGGATATGTTACCTGTGCTGTGCTTCTTGGATAATGAATTGAACCAGAAATTAAAACTCTGTGTACTCCATCAATTATGATGGCTCTGCCATCATGAGTTACATTCATAGCATTAACATAAAATATGAAGAAAGAAAAAATAATAACCAAGAAAGAGTTGAACAAGCCCATTGTTTTTTTGTTTTTTAAGAAGATGAAGGGAAGGAATAGAGTGAATATGTATTTATAGTGCAAAGAGATTATAGGTATCTGGCTTTAACAAGATTATCCAAAAACAAATTTTCTTGAATCACGTTTTTGGATATAACTCAATTTCGTACCTCAAAGTTTAAAAGTTTGAAGTCAAATCTTAAAGAATCTTTTAAGTATCATTAAATTTCATTATGGTAATCTAGACGACATGTTTCATGTGTAACCATTATATAATTAGTTGAAAAACAAGAAGATTTAATTTTATTGAAGAAAGAGAAATTCATGTTTAAATTAAGAGGTATTTAATTGGTCAAACAGACATTCGATCGATTAAAGAGTCAAAGAGTCATATATATGTAATTTAGATTCAATTGAAAATAAATTCCTCTTTTGTCTATGTACTAAGAAATTTGAAAGACAATCTGAGATGTATTACTTCAATAACCAGATGAAACCTAGTTAATGTTCAATTAAAATTTTAAGTTTAAATGTTTGATTAATTTCAGTTTAATTTGTAGACCTAATCCAAATTGACTAAAACCATTCTTCTTTAATTTGGTATTATTATCATGGTCAAAAGTAGAGAACAAAAAAAAGGAAGAATGTGTGATTAATTTTGTTTATATATTTTTTATTGAGAAGGTTATGATTAATTAATTAGTAATATTATTAGTTAACAAATTGTTGGTATATTTTCAAAATCAAAGGTTATATCACATTATGAATAGCTATCTTAGCTTAAAGGTTATGTCACATAAAGTGACAGTGTGTTGGATTATAAATAGGTTTTCATGTGAATAGTTATATCTCTTGATAAAATGACATCCAAAAGTTATGAGGTATATTAAAAAGACATCATGGCTCAAAAGTTAAATAAGAAAAGTTATTGTTCAAATTATAACTCATAGATTATAATGAATAGTTATCTTTTCATAAGATGATTATTAAAACAATATCTTTATTCAAAAGTTATATTTGGCAAAATAAAGAGATGTCTTTTAGACAAAATGGTGCCTTAATTGAAGGGTTGTGTCGTTGAAAAAGAGACACTTACAAGCCTATATAAAAAGCTTGTTGCCAACCATTTTGAAACAACAAAAATCAAACATAAAACAAGAGTAGAAATATCAAGAGCAAGAAAATATTGTGTTCTATTAACATAAGCACTTAAATTCTCATCAATTACAAAAACTTTTAAATTCCTTATAATCTACTTACTGTAGAAAGTAGGTTATAAGGCCAAACAACTTTGTAAACCTTCGAGTGTATCTAGCGGTCTACTCTCGTTAAGTGTAAAATGAAATTAGACGTTGGATTCATTGTAACTCTAAGACTATTTGTATTATTTCTTTTTGCATACGGAATGGTGGAGACGAAATAAATCTTAAAGATAGCACCTATTTAAAATCTTGCATTGAAGTCAATTTTGTTAATTTTTTAAATTCCATCCAAACCCCATTTGTACTAACACAAACTAATAAAGGATTTCCTTAACAAATTAACATACAGTCATGCACCCACAATGAAATCCCTCCTATTGTGGCATCAGAAATGGATTAACAAAACTTAATAATTCAAGGTATTTTTTTAAAAAGAAAAAAAATTCGTTATAATGTAAAATCATAAGACTTACATTTGTATCCAGAGAATTATAAATTACTATTAATAATTTAATAATGATCAATCTTTTGTGTAACCTTGAATCAGATGTACATGTAGCTTAGACTCTCCAAACCTATAGCATATTGTTCATATAGTAAGAGAGCAGCAGAAGGTGGCAATCACAATCCCATATGATATTACCAGCATATTCTAGACCAACAGCATATTCACTGTTTTCTTCCATACTAATTCATCCCTCATTTCTTAACTAGGGTGATATTCTCCGATATCAGGTTTAGGAACCTTTTGTGCTGTTCCTCCTCCCATCCCAAGGTTTGCCTCTTAAGTTTCACTTTCCACTCCCAAGCCCCATTAACCCAATCCCCATACAGCTTCACCTTCCCATTTTTGTTGATAACTAAATCGTAAATCCTAGGGAAAAGCTCCTTAAGAGTTGTTCCCTCAACCCACACATCCCCCAGAAACTTTTATTTTTCCCATCTCCCATCACCTACCCCAAGTTGGACATTACTTGCATCAAAAATGGCGTACCCAAAGTTTGGCATTACCTGCATAAAAAACCGATTATTGGGAGAAAAGGGATTGGTGATGTTTTTCCATTGTGAGAACATTCTTCTACTATTTCCTCCTTGCAGCAGCAAACTAGTTGATTCCTTTCTGTTTTTTTTTCACCAAAACCTTTCTCCATAGACATCTTCTCTCGAACCTTCAAATCCACTAATCAAGCATTGTTCTGTTTTTTTTTTTCTAAATCCACCATTCCTGTTCCTCCCTTTTCCCATTAATTTGATACTTTTAATTTAATAAAAAATTAAAGAAAAGCTTCTTAATTTAATTTAACATACATTTTCAGATGAGAAGAAAAATAGTAGTAACAGAGAAGAGTAGAAGTCATTTGCCACCCACGAAGCAACAATGGTTTTTGTAATGAACAAATGACAATCGAATAAAATAAAGTATAAATAATTTCAATTAAACATATATATGTACTAGTGGGTTTTATATTATATGTCTTCATATTAACTCGAAATGATTAATTAGGAATTAAAAAGTGAAAATTTAATTTGATAAAATTTTATGAATAACTCAATGGAGTATAAAAATTTAATTAAAATTATATCTATTTTTTTAATAAAGAAAGGACTGTTAGACTAATTCTTTCAATGTAATTTTTTCTTTTTTAAATATAGTTAAACCTTAATAAATTAATACTCTTGAATCATGAAAATTTATTAATTACTTGAGATATTATTTAATAGATAAATTAATTTTTTATTAATTAATGTATAAATTAATAAAAAATTAATTTATCAAAGTTATTATTTATTTTTTAAAAATATTAAACTTAATATACATATATCGTATATAATTATTTCTTACAACACAAGAATAATATACCAAAACTTTTTAATGTAACAAGAAAAGTTAGAAATGAAGTGGAAGGAGACATCAATTTCAAAAGAAAATAAGTAATATTGAAATTATATTTTTTTAAAAAAATTTAATTGAGTTATATATATAATTTTTATGTATAAAGAAATTATTAATTTATATATCAAGAGAGATTTATATATTTTTGAATATATTATTTTGTAAATTTAATAAATTATTAATTTATTATATTAATTTTAAATTAAAATTAATTAAAAATTATTTAATCAAAATTAATGATTTATTCAAAATTATTAATCTATTGAGTATTAATTTATAAAGAATATATTAAATTTGAGTTGATAAAATGTTAAAAAAATGCGGTTTCTCTTTCAGCCTATGAAAAGGTAGGTCCCACATTGAGAAATTGGAAGTCTCTTTTTCTGTAAAAAACAAAAAAAATGTTAATAATTGAACGTAGGTGTCAACATCCTTGACCCTGAACATTTCTACGCCCAGATCAAACGACTCGGGAGTCATTGTCACTGGAATCTGGGTGGACTCGTCCCCACGAGTTAACTCACTTCTCGTGGTCTTATCGAAAAATAACCGATTAGTGCAGTATCTCACGCGCGTTGGGACCTCGCTTTGCCTTGTTAACATGCAACCTGGTTCTGGAGGCCTCTACTGGGGAAAGTGAATGACATTACTGCCCCTATTTAATATATTTAATGACGTTACCACCCTCATAATGCTTTTTGCCATTTTGATTATACTTTTTTTACTTTTGGCACGGTCATTATGTCTACAAAAATTTGTTCTAATTTTCTATTATTATTACTTCCAACAAGATTTCCTTTCACTTGCAAATCAAATTGGCAATTATGTTTCTTATAGTTAATCCCAGAAAGATAAAATTTAAATATCATAATGCTGATAATTTTATATTTCTCTTTACATATTCACATTATGCCAAGTAATATAATATTTCTATTGATATTAATAATTTTTACTTTATTTATTATCATCATCAATAATCATTCTATATAAACTAGAATTTATATTATTGATATAAATGAATAATTATCAATTTTTGGTATAACTATTACTCTCTTTTTTCCTGCCAACTGTGTAACTTTTATTGAAGTTAGAGACTCGTATTTGAACTAATGAACTATCTTTTTGCTTTCATTCCTATCAATAGCATAAATAAAATATGTTTAAATATTTTTCTATAAACAAACATCTCAATAACAACGAACTTGAATATTGCAAGTTACACTGCGAGGATACTGAATGGCACCTGTGTTGATAATCCTTGACTGCTGAGCTCGAGCTCAGAAATATGGCAAGGCAGCCAGGAGAAGAAACTCAATCCAATTATTTGGCATCTTTATTTTTTAATAAAGTAGACTGCGCTGTTTTTGTTCCTAATGATGATGGAGGTGAATGATAGAAGGCAGAGGAAGAACAACTGGTAGTAAGAAGAAGAAAAAGAAAAAGGATCAATGCATTTTATAGGCAACCCCATCAGCAAAAGCTATGCAATTGTTGTTCAGATAAGAACAACTCATCCTTTTTGCAATTTTTTATGTTTGGGCAAAACATGATCCTTTTAGGACATTAAAATTCGGATAAGAACATATGCAAGTTTGAACAAAGTTGTTGCGGATTTGGTGTAAGACCACAAAATTGAACAAACATGAATGAACAACACCACGAAAGTCTTGCGGATTTACAGAAATCAATCAAGCATGAACAGGATTTAAAGCAGAAAACTAGACAAATTATTAGCTTTAATTTTGTTAAACTACTACCTTTGGGATAGTATTAACTATAAGTTTGTGAAACTACTTGCTTGCTTACTTTTGCTTTGGGATGCAATCACTCTGCAATGAACTTTACATGCTCTTAGTTATTCGTAACTTTGATAATCACAATAAAAATTTGAGAATAACTTATTGAAACATAATCTCTTTATAAAAATTCATCAAAACTGTTTAGAACGAAAAAACTTACTACTTTACTAAAATAAACAAACTACTTTCCTTAAAACGTCCTACATACAAACTAAATAACATATTAAAACTCGAAAAAGTAACATGAAATCCTAACAAATAGCTTCCACCGCTAGCCTATTCGCGGCACAATAAGCTTTTCCAAATTTGTCTTCAGAAACTTCGAAAGAACATGATTCCCTGCCAACACATTCTTTCTCAAGGACGGACACCGCATCCACGGTTGATTCACATTCACTCTTCTTGAAGGCTCCACACACACCTTGTGGATCACCGAAGCTGGCAAAATTAATTCTTGAAATTGGCCGATTATGACAAGACAATTCCACCTGCTTTCCCACATGAGCATTTATGCATGCCGTCCCGATTTCAACAGTTTGAAACTGTACTCCGGAAGGATTACCACCGAATTCTTCAAACAAAACTAACGTGTTGTCACCATCTTTAAGGAATGATCTTGGAACATGATACCTATCAAATAACAACAAAATTTAG